TGGAACTGGAATCATGGCGGAATTTCATCTGAAGTCCACTTCACAGGGCACTTACGGTCACATAAGACCATGCTTGAATGCTGCTGCCTGAACAAGAGACCTCCTTACTGAAGTGAAAGTGTTGACTGGTGTCACTATCTCGCGAACGCCCCGGCGGATCTCCACCAAATTCGGGGGATCCCTTCAGCTCGAGGAGCCCTCTCAAACGCCACCCTCCGCACATCGGTAGCCCCCCGGGATCGCTTGATCGGTTGGTGCTGTACACTCGATTCGTGTTCGAGAGGGTTCCTCGAGCTTAAAGGATCCCCGAATTTGGTGCGGATTCGCCGCACCGTTACGGAGATATGGCCGTTCAAAGTTTCAATGGTTTTCCATAGACTTAAGCTTTAAAACGTTTCATCCAGGTCGCCAGTAGCAAACAATAGAGCGCGCTCTGCTGGACAAACTAAGTAATTACACAATTTCAAGCATTTTATCTGCGTTATACTGTATGTTCTGTAAAAAAAATCATATCGGCGGCATATTCGCAGATACCGATATATCGGCCAATAATATCGGCAAAACGATATATCGGTCGGGCTCTAGTGAGTGGTAACTGATGACATAATTTATATTATTATATAATTTAGAACTATCCTTCTATGAGACTTCCTGTCCACAGTAGTACTAGCCCACGGTTCTCCTGTTACTGAAGGCTATTGATTTACTCTTTTCATCTGCTTCGCTATTGAACAAGAGTTTCTCTTTGTGTAAGAGAGCATGTGTGTGAGGTGCTGTGAATTATTCAAGGCTTCATAAGCCTTGTAGTATTTAATTCAGTGTCGCATGACTGTAACTTTAGCAGTGTCCCCTCTCTGTCTCAGATTGCTGTCGGAGAGTGTTACCGGGTACGATTCAGAGGTGTGCACTCACGGGCATTTGTGCGCAACCGCTATGTGTCCTGTCTGTACAAGGAGCTGGGCAGCTTCCTGTTTGGCTGCTGCGTGGGGCAATCCTTGACCAACATGGCAAAGCTAAGTGTGGGCCGACTCCGTCCCCACTTCCTGTCAGTGTGCAATTTGACCTATGCTTCACTCAACTGTGTACCTGGAACCTATATCTCAGAAGATGTCTGCAAGGACGATTCCAAGATAATGGAGGCCAGGTAAGTGGAGTACAAGGGGTTTTATGGGAGGCACAGAGATGAGATGAGCTCTGTTCCAAAATCTAGGCTGTGTACAAAATTTGCATGCTTAGTAGATACATCTTTTGAAAGAGTATTTAATGATCATTAAAAAAGTATGTTCTATATCAAAGGTCTTCAACCCTGCTCGTGAGGAGTTACCTTTCTGCAGACTTCAGTTCCAACCATGCTCCAACACACCTTGCTGTAATTATCAAGTAGCCCTGAACACCCTGATTAGCTGGTTCAGGCGTGTTGGAACTGAACTCTACAGGATGGTAACTCTCCAGGAGCAGGGTTTGAGACCCCATATAGCAGGGGCAGCCAATGTTGACTGTGGCTCTCTTGGACTGATGTTGGCCACCCCTGTTGAAAAAAAAGGCATATGCTGGTTACGTATGTTTTGAAGCTTGGCAGCTGGTTTGAGCTGGTCCTTAGTTGGTCATGAGCTGGTTTAAGCTGGTCCTGAGCTGGTTATAAGCTGGTTATGAGCTGGTCCTGAGCAGGAGATAGTTGCTTAGGACCAGTGCATGACCAGCTTAAACCAGCTCATAACCAGCTTATAACCAGTTCAGGACCAGCTCATGACCAAATAAGGACCAGCTTAAACCAGCTGCCATGCTTCAAAACATACCTAACCAACATATGCTGTTTTTTAACAGGTGTATAGTATGAATGTGTGAAGTATGAAGATAATCTACGTACTATACTCGTCATGTTGTCATTATCATGTGACCTAACAGTGTCAGTTGTGTCGCTTCATTACTAGGGCTGGGTTTTGACACAAATTTTACAATTCGTTTCGATTCTCATTCACAAGCTTGCAATTCGATTTGATTACCAATTTGATTCTATTCGATTCAATATTGATTATTTTGGATATATATCAGGTACAGTACATGCCAAATTTTCTCAAGGAAAAAAAATATCTCAAGTAATGCTGTAAAATATACATGTCAGTTGGTACTACATTAATATTGAAGGTTAAATTGACTGATTTGTTAAAATTACACTTAATGAAGTTTTTAAAATAATAAAGTTACAATTACATAATATTTATACTTCAATTAATTTTTTTGAAATATTATGGTGGCTGTCATAAAAACGGATTTATTCAAACATAAATTAAACACTGAAGAACAGTAAAATTTATAATGAATATGTTATATGGTGCATATATTTACCAAAATTCCCCTCTCTACAATTTATTTTTCTATCTGACTAATGAGTTTATGGTCATCAAATATGTTTTTTCTGAGGTAAATGTGAAGTTACCTGACATTGTTTACAAGCCGTTATATTGACATCTTTGCACAGGTGAAACACTAATTGAGCGAATACATGAGAGGATACAGATTGTAAAGTTGTACGCTTTCTTTTAACGTACCTTCGGATGTTTAGTCATGTTTATTTTGAGCTGAAACTGGTATTAATGTGGAGGAAACAATCAGTTCACGTGCGCCTCGCGCTGCTGCATCTGTTGAACTGAGGCGCTCCAGCGATCTGTCACTTCACATTAAACAGCGCCAAGATGGTATTTATTGTTTGAATACTGCAATACAATGGACAGAATTTTGAAATCTGAGACTTTTTTTCATATGAAAAATACCAAAGCACAATGCTTATTGCGATATATTGGATGTGAAGTGTCCTTCAACGTTCAGTCCATTAACTGAACAGGCTAGACTAATCGATTCTTGGGATTTAAGAATCAATATCGTTCGGTAAAAATGAGAATCGATTAATATCGAGATATCGATATTTTTTACCCAGCCCTATTCACTAGGATAAAGTGTCAATCAGATGAGCACTTCAGAATCTTGTCGGAAGTAGTAGGTCATCCGGGTACTATTTGTCTACTATGAATACTATGGAGACTAAGTGAGCTGTCTTGCGGAATACTACTTACATAGGCAGCATCCTAACCAAAATGGATCTTCACAACTGACTTATTTGTAACATTTTATATGCCTGACACAAATAGCACTCCACATGGAAGACGCGACTTGCAGTTGATTCTGATGGAGTTTGATGTTAACATGTTGCTAAGCTAACAACGCAATATTTAAAAAAAATATATATATATTTAGTTTTAAGATTTAAAGAATGCTAAAAGTCCACATTCAGTACCACAAAGCCCATTTTATCACAAGGGTCAGCTTGTCGCAATGTATTATTTGTCTACTCTATGAAGGATAAATACTGTGGTTCTTCAAAATTTGGCTAAAAGAAGATATCTTGCGCTATGTTCCAAACAGGATAAATCCGCCTCCAAAGGGCACTTCAAAGTGAAAACAGTCGTGGCAGTCATACTGAAGGGTCATTCCAAACCAAACTTTAGAATGGAACGCAACAGTGTTTAGAACAGTCCTATCTGGTGATACTGCCTAGGTAGGAGGCTCACTAGTTTTTGGAACAGAGATATAATGTATGATTAGTTAAGGTTACAGTATTTCAAGTGCAAATGTTGGATGCTTTTTTGACTAATCACATAGTGTGTTTTATGGAAATAAAAAGGAATTTATTTAGAATAACATGCATGCTTGTGATTGCTTAATATAACATCATGCAGACAATGTTACGGCCCATAAAGCAGTGCAGCGGTTTAATGATTTGCGAGATTATGACATTTGGTCGGTAATATTTTCGTTCTGCTCTTTTCAAACAGAAAGTCCTTCTTCTCGGGCCATGCATCTTTCGCCATGTACACCATGCTTTACCTGGCAGTGAGTATCGCCGTGTGTGGCCATATTTACCACATGCACTCTCAAACATGCAAACTCAAACACATGTCAGGGTAGCGCCGAACGCCTGTGCTTGCTGTGGGATGCCGGTGAGGAGGTTTTTCTGTTGTCAGCTTTCACTTCCCATCCCTGCCATGTGGGAAAAATGCCAAAAGATTCCTACTGACAAGAAACTCTCTCAAACTTCAACTCTCACAAATGCACACAAATAGACTCATACTGAAAGAAGAAGGCTCTGAGAACGCAAAAAACTCTCAAAAGGCATCTTGCTTCAAGCAGAAAAGAAAGGCTTGAGTGAAAGCGGGAATGTTCTCCAGAGGCCTGATGAATAGATGAGCGGAGAGAGGGAGAGTGAGTGAAAGCTAGCTGAAGACAGAGGAGGCCTTGTTTAGTTGTGGGTTGGGTCTGGGACGGGTGGGAGGCTTTGGCCTGCTGAGAGATAGACAGGCTTCTTTCAGTTAAACCCCTCTCTCTCGCTCACTGTATTGGCCTGGGGAAGGGGCACAAAAAGGGGAAAAATGACAAAACGCTTGCAAACGATCATAAAGCATGATATTCAATAGCATTCACATTTCTCTTTCACTCAACTGCCCCACAAACCTTATCAGAATTTACTCTGCCTTGTGTGCCAATCACATTTAGAACAGAGGGAAGAAAATTAGCCCGCTGTGTAAAAACAAGCTATTTTCTACCATTCATCTGATTCAAAGCGGGAGAGCTCTTCAACGCTCATGAGAGAGCGAGAGCGAGAACATGAACAGAGCGAGGGAAAAGCCTATAGAAAAGCTGTGCCAGGCTCTTTGTCCTCTCTGCCTGTTTTTTCTTTCCTTCCCGGCCAATGGCTGCACTGTTCAGGCTTGGCCCTGCCTTGCATGCCTGACCTGCAGCCACATGCTTTGGCTCTAAGTGCCAGCTGCTCCAGGCTTTACTGCAGGAAGCCAAACACCTGTGATGGGGCTGATGGGAGGGGTTCCAGGGCCCTTAAATTCTGGAATGTTTCACGGTCCCTCGTGTGACATCAATATCCATTAAGTTCATGTACAGCCAATACCCGCTGACCCCAATACATCTCCCTAAAATTTGTTGTGTAGCTAAGCTAGCTTGGCAGGGTGGTATCATTAACACGTGTTAACTGTTTTTTTTTCACCATATGGTTCTGTTCCCAAAGCTAGTGTTTACTTTTAAGGCAGCATCCTAACTGAAATGTAGCCTCAAAAGTGATGATTTGGAATGCTCTGTGTATTGCAACGCAATCATTGAAGTACATTTCAGGGAAAGTTAATTCACTTGGCAGCCATATTTGCAGCGCCTCTAGGCAGCTATTTCCAGGATGCAAGACTAACTCAGTCTACTCTCAAAAACTGCTAGCCAAACTCACATTTAAATAACATATTTCAAGGCAGCAACACAATCTGACACAACTGTTCCATAAATAATCGCATAGCATTTAAAAAAAATAGTGTATATTTTGGGTTGGTCCAGCCATTGTGCATGTGCAATCCCAAGCGTGAGTCTCAGGACAACCAGAGTTTATAACGGCAGTTGCAGTGATGCAATGGCTTTACCAATTGCCGATTGGCTCTTTTATTTAGAAGGCGGGACTTCTCCCAGTCATAGTAATTTGAGTGCACCATCTTGGTATATACAGTCTTTGATGAAGAAAACTCGACTCACAACTGATTTCAATTTGGTGTTAGCAGGTTTCTAAGCCAACAACAAGATACTCTAAGAAACAAAGCACACAGAAATGTTGATATTCAATATTCAATTTTAAATCACACAGAACATTTTTAGCGACAATTCTCTCATCTTGGATGATGCTTGTCGCAGTAAATTCTGGCATTGTCCACCCTATTGCCTTGGAATTTGACAGAGACAAGATAACTTTATAATAACTTTTAGAACAGACTGTGAAGAGTGTTTTCGTGATGCTCACTAGATACGAGTAGATTTGGGAACAGAACCTTTTTAAAACCATCTTCCACTGCTAGGGTGGAGATACAGAACATAGATAACTGTAGTAGGCCTAAATAATATTGTCTCTCAAGTAAGCTAATTTAAAGGTGATAAAAGATCACTATAGCGAATTTATATTTGATGCAGAGTTTGTTCTTAGACTATTTATAATAACAGACTAACACTATTGGCATCTTTGAACTAAAATAAGCACATTATTTAGTCTTTTGAGGATGGTTTATCAGGTTGATCAGATTTAGTTAACTTCCGAGTGATTTTTCAGGAAATGTGTCATCAAAAGTTTAGCTAGGTCAGACACACACACACACACACAATAACACACACACTCTGTAAGCTTATTTATCAGTCTGTACACTCTTTTATCAGCTCATATGTTAATAATTCTTCAAACTTCCTGTCTTTGTGCAGTTCTACCTGCAGGCGAGGTTGTCATGGCGAGGGGCACGGCTCCTGCGACCGTTGCTGCAGTTCATGTTGGTGATGATAGCAGTGTACACAGGACTCTCTCGCATTTCTGACTACCGCCATCACCCCACTGATGTCCTGACCGGCTTCTTGCAGGGAGGACTGACCGCGTACTGGGTGGTAAGAATCACGTCACCACATGCTCTAGATTATCGTTATTATGAAGCTGGGCGTGTAAGGTGCTTTTTGTCTGCTCACTTTCACATTTTCTTTGTGCGGTTACAGGCCTTTTATATCTCTTCCATGTTTAAGACGTCTCGTCCAGACATGTCTCCAACAAGCTTGTCTCTGGAGAGTCCCCTGTCCAGCCAGCAGACCGTCTGCTAACAGAGGCACCTGAGAGACACGATGGGAGTGATCGAGCGAAGAATGGGAATGGGACAAAGAACTTTAAAACATGCTCATGTCTTGACAGAGAACCATTTCCTGTGCACTCTGAGAATAGAACAGTAATATATATATATATACATATCTATATATATATATATATATATATACACACACACATACACATACATGTCTAACACTTCAACCAAGCCGTCCACAATGAATCAGCCCTCCATAGATAAATGATATTTTTATATTAAAAAGTTTTTCCTTTATATTTTTGAAATCTATTATAGTTGAAGCTGCTAATAATTGTTGTTTTATAATTTGTCACTTGTAGTCCAGGCTCAGAGATTCACACGTCACGTTGTGAAAGTGATTTGATTTCATATGGAACTCAACGTGTCAAGCATTTTGGCTCATGTTGACTGTTGGAGGCCCAGTCTAATGAATTTCCATTGGACAAAAATGGACCAATCGCAACAACGCTTCGGCCTCAGACCACACCCCCTTGTGTTTGCTATTGGACCTGGCTAGACCACTGTTCTGGTACGCTGTTGCACAATCATAGCGGTGCTGTTTGTAGACACCCTCTGTTTATAAAAGCACAGATTTGATGTTAATGCTATTAAGCTTGTATTGTATTAAGGTGGGCTAAACTCCATGTTTGTACTAACCACTTTCACTGCATGAGTGAGACTGAAAGGAGGTTTGAGCCAACAACCTCCTCAACCCCCCCCACCCCCCGCATAATGAAGGCATGAATCTTGCCCTAAACGCTCAGCGGACCGGGGGTCTATACCTGTGCATCCTTTACTACTCATAGCACTTGAATTACACTATGGAATCGTCTAAATACTACAGATAATATTTTATATGTTGTCTTCTTTAATCAGTGTTTTACTTTCTTCCTACGGTCAGTGCCATTTGTGTTCGTCTTTTGTGTTTTTCCCCAAATTATAATTATTCAGAATGAATGTAAATAAATAATTTTATAAACAGATCCAGATTATCAGAAGTATTAGCATCGGTTCTTGTTTTACGTGTTTATATATGTTTTTTATTGTTTGTGTTGATCAGGTACGCAGAGTTATTGTTGCTAATTGAGACTAGTGACTGAGCCACAGATTGTCAGAAAGCTATATTCTACTTATCTAGTTTCATTTCATTTGTTGGTTTCCCCTGTGAAAAGCCTGTATGGCTGAAATAACCACTGTATTAATAAACCAAACCAATAAAATGAATGTTCAACCTTTGTATCTTTCTATCTCTTCTATAATGACAGAACAAAGCGCACATCCACCCACACAAACTAATATACATAACCCTGATGAGTAAAGCTGCTGTAAAAAAGCAGATAAACACATCTGTGACTGTGCATCAGTTGGATTTTAAATTAACACAGTAAATTCCTATGTTGCTCTGCAACTATATTCACTAATGAACTATATTAGCTGGCGGCAGAATTATTATTAATTAATGCATTTGTGTTAATGTTAATTTATTGAATCTTGGTGTCTTTTATTATAATGCTGTGTCCGCCATTGACCTGTGCCTTGCATTAGCTGCACCAGCTGCACTTCTCGACCATTGGAGTTCTGTAGTTATGCAGGCGTGCAGCATAAATACATTTTCTAGCATTTGATTTGAATGTTCTTTGACCTGTGATGCTAATTACTACAATGGAAACGATTTACTCAAAGCTTGTAAAGTACAATTTCATAGACATATATAGGTAGATGACTCATTCGACAGCTCCAAGCACATAGCTCCGCCATCTTGCAATGGTCAACTAGATGTCATTCACCATATTAAACAACGAATATTCGAAGATGCCACAATCCTGCACAGCTGATGGTTGTAAAAACCATCAGGATTTAAATTCCTGAAGAAACGGGATAACCTTTCACATGTGACAATGCGAGAGAGGGGCGGAACCATAGATATGTAAGGATTGTGGCATCTTCGAATATTCATTGATTATTATGGTGAATGATGTCAAGTTGATTCTTTCAATATGGCAGACGGCTTACGAATAGCGGCCTATAGAAACAGTCGCTAATGAGGCATCTACATATACATATCTATGTACAATTTAGCCAGCAAGAATTTTCTTGGTACATATAGCACTTACACTTGACAAGAGTTGCCCGGCTCACAGTTCTCCATCATTTTTATGTGACGGCAAAGGCAGCAGACATAGAAAAACATAAGTCTGCTGCTCAATTCTAAGAGCCAAATTACAAGAGAGAGAGAGAGAGAGAAATAAAGTAAATAAAAAAATTAAATAAATAGCACTTAAAAAAATATATATATTACTTTTATTTAGCAAGAATGCATTCAATTGATCAAAAGTGGCAGTAGAGACATTTAAAATATTACAAAATATTTATATTGAAAATAAATGGTGTTCTTTTGAACTTTCTATTTATCAAAACATTCTGGAAGAAATTGATCAGTTTCTACAAAAAATATTAAGCAGAAAATCAGCATATTAGAATGATTTCTGAAGGATCGTGTGATTCTGAAGCCTGGGGTAATGATGCGGAAAATTCAGCTTTGCATCACAGGAATAAATTACATTTTAAAACATATAAAAATTGTAAGCTATTATTTTAAGTTGCAATACTATTTCACAATATTTCTGTTTTTATTATATTTTTGATCAAATAAATACAGCCTTGGTGAGTACCAGAAACATCTTAGCAAAAATCATATCAACCCCAAACTTTTGAAATCTATTTCTCTAGAATACACTGCTATATTTGAATGTCTCTCAATGGAGAAAAAAATATTTTTGCTGCCAAATAGCATAGCTACTACATCTACAAGCAGGGGCTTGTAGCTAACTGCTAATGCTAAAGCCAAACCTTGACCCCTTGTGTACCACAAAATAATACAAAACAAGAAATACTAGGCTGACTCACAAACAGACCTGGAAACACTGGCCTCTGAACACTACCCACATCTGTTCTAAAAACTCTCGTGGCTCATTGCTTTATCAGTAGAAAGTTTAAGCCTTAAACTTAAACTCAAGATGTTAGAGTAGAGAAATAATGAAACATTTATGCCAACACAAAGAGCAGCTCTTTGAGGAAACTAGTTTAACATTAGACATGCAATTCCTCCAGTTCTCTCTCAGCCCCTCATTTCCCTCCCTCTCTTTCTCTCTTTTTGAGTGCAGTGGAGCGCATTGGCTGTTTCTGGGGTCATGCTACCACTGCGATTCCTAGCCAGATAGAAACTGGCAAAGTGCTAGAAGTAGAGGAGGAGGCTTTACTTTGCCTTCTCGTTTTTCTTCTCCAGTGTACTTCAAGACGCAGTGAGCACAATAAAAGGCAGCCAAGATCAGAGCGAGCAAAGGAGAGATAAAGCAATTGAGAGAGAGAGGGAGGGAGGGAGTGAGTAGCAGTAAAGGCATGAGCGGAGGTGCTGAATGAGGGGTGAGAGGGGGGCGGGGGCTCTGCGGTTGGCTGGTGGTGTGGCGCAGGGAGGTGTCGGGGTTCTGGGTGTGGGGCGCTGGGGCGCTGGGGTGGGAAGGAATTTGACCATGGTTTGGGGGCTGTTTTGTTTCACAATGTTGTTACAAGGGAACATATTTCATACCTGATGTGTGGTATGCATGATCCATAATGTATGGCCCTGCTCTTTTACATAATGTACTTTGCTCAGCTTGTCTTACAACTATGACTTTTCCAACAGCCTTCGCTCTGCCCCACAATCCTGCAGCCCGGAATCAACAGCGATAAGCAGAGACAGAATCTTCCTGTAAATAAAACTCCCTGCTACTTTTAAGACAACATGACACGGCATTCACAAAACACTGAAAGCAAGCAGGATAATTTAGAATATCCACATAATACCAAATACTAAATATTTGTTAATAACAATATTATTTCATTTAAAAAAGTATCTTCGTAATCTTTATTCAGAATATAACTGAAACAACTTTTCTTTTCTGCTGATGTCACCAAGGCCTCTCATTTTAGCCCCTCCCCTTTTCTCAAACCATCAATTCCCAGTCAATTCATGGTCCAATCAATTCTCAGCGGATAAAATCAGGTATATGTTTCTCACTGAATATTCTGTTTTGCTCAGAAATACACCAGATTACAGGCGTAAATCGGTTAGGAGCTGTAATATTTATTACATAAAATGGATAATTATAAAATTCTGTAATATGATGTATAAAAGTATTTAGCAGGAAATTATTTAGGACAGGACGTGGTTTTATTCACAAGGAGTCTGACTGAATGATGAAAAGTAGGCTGTCATTTTAGTGGATAATGTTATTTTCCTTGCACATGTAAGCTTTTGTTCTGTCAGCAGAAAAGTGTAATTTCAGAGGTGAAGAAAGTTATTACATTTCAATGAAAGAATATGAAAACTTTTTTCATAACTTCTCGATTTGTGCGAGACAGTCAACAGTCCAGAGTCCAGAGTGATGCTATGGATCAGCATGTGTGCGATCGATCAGTCCAAACAGAATGATTATGAATGGAAAACTAAAATGTCGAAGCAGGCAGTGCCTGCTGGAGAGATAAAATGAACACGATGGCCACAGCCACCACAGCAAAAAAGCCCTCCATCCAGGAAACAGCTGCACCGTCCACAGCAGACCAGAGGAATGCAACACACAGCCTCCCTGCACTAGTCACCGTTTTTTATTAAGGTCAAGAATCTCCATTTTTTAAGTGTGTAGTATGTTTAATATAAATGAATCCATAAAAAGGAATAAAAGCTCTGCTGGGACACGGGAGTGCTTAATAAACAAAAACTTCATACATCCATACCAACAGGTGTCAGTATGAAACCCAAGACCCCTGGGAAAACTGAAGGTCAGTGAAATGTTAAACTCTACATGAAATCGAAATGCACCCCATTTATTTTCTCAATACATGTTACTGGTCTTACTGTGAATGCCTTATCTGGGAATATCATCAATGTCAGATGGAAACCTCATACTGTATGTCCAAACCCTCTACCTTTCAGGAAGTGTTCACATGGTTTTTGACAAGCAAGTGTATTGGCGATGACTAGATGGCAAATGCTAGACTAGGACTTTCTTCTCTGCTCCTAAAATTGGTGGCAACTGGCTTTACGTTTCATGCCAACTTTAAAGGGGTCATATGATGCGATTTCAAGTTTTCCTTTCTCTTTGGAGTGTTACAAGCTCTTGGTGCATAAAGAAGATCTGTAAAGTTGCAAAGACTAAAGTCTCAAAGCCAGAGATATTCTTTATAAAAGTTAAGAGTCAGCCACGCCTACCTAAAACGGCTCGTTCTAACACGCCCCCACATATCTACGTCACTATGTGGAAATATTAGCATAATTTCAGAGTAACGCGTTGTGTGTGTGAATGGAACAGGGTCACATCACAGGACAGTGAACTGCCTGTCAGAAATCATAGCACGTCAGCTGTCTTAACTGTGTACTGCATCATCACTGTGTCTGTCACGTGACTCTGTTGCCCTTTCGGGCTTGAACTGATGGTAAAACTAAGGACAATATTAACTGTCTTGATATTTACTTTGAAAGCTAAAGCGATTATGGTAAGGGGCGTTACATTTCCGACGCATGCTTGTGGTGTTCGGCCAATCACAATGCACTGGGTCAGCTGGCCAATCAGAGCAGACTGCGCTTGTCAAAGGAGGGGGCTTTGTTGAAAACAACGCGTTTGAGAGAGGCGGGGCATAGAGGACCTACAATAATGTACAGTATTTGAAAAATAATGTGTTTTTTGAACATTAAAGCATGTCAACATATTCTGTTACACCAAATACAATTAAATGCATTCTTTCTCTGCACTTGAGTCCTGCCATGTCTTTTTTTTTTTTTTGTACTCTCTTTCTTTTTTCCCAAAAGTAGCATTTGGCTAGCCTCTGGAAATTTCAATCTGCCTGAATGAGTCCTAATAGCAGCCTGTGAAATACTTTAAACCTTTCACCCCTCATTATGAAAGAAAATAAATATTACCCAATTTGCTTCTTTGACCAACACATGGTTCATACCTCAAGGGAATGAGATTGATAAGAAATTATGGGAACAAACATTCACAAATTGCTGCCCTTATAAATAAAAGTGATGTCTAGAGATAAGAATCGAGTGTGACGGAGGATGTCTCTTGCATGTGTTCTCCCACGTAGGTTCGCTTCACTCCAGTCTGGCCAGATGTGAGCGCTTCATACCTGAGACAGCAATCGGATGTAGGGCATACCTTCCTGGATTTGATTGTATCGCCTCATTATCAAGAACT